CTAGTAGATGGAAGACTGAGCTCCATCGTGGTCTCTCTCTCCTTCCTACCTCTGATATTCTGTTTTTAAATAAATAAATACATTTTTTTTAACAGGACCTGGAGAAGAAGTCCCAATACTCAGAAAAGAAGCTCTCTGGCCACAAGTCTCGCTCATCCCCTGAAATCACTAGAAGTAAACCTCTGTAGTGAACACTATATTAAACTAACAAACAGGTATATAAGCATTCCCACTAAGGATGCAAAAACATAAACAGATAATGGAGGCTGGCAAAAATCTAAGGAAAATCACAGAAGCACAAAGACACTAAGCTCAAACAGGCATAATTCCTATTCCAAAAGAGTTAATGTTAAAAAATTATCATAATCGACTATTTTCAGAGAGACTTAAGAGACCATAGCACCAATAAAACAAGAATAAGATGCATTACAAAGAGGGTCTGCTGAGGACAAGGAAGAATAAAAGGAAAAACAAAACAACACACATACCACAATGAAATGCAGAACGCCAGAACAAAACAAAAAACCAAGACGCTTCAAGCGTGGAGAAATCAGAGCTCCAACAAGATACAAAAATCCACAGAATTATCTAGTACCAAAGCAGTGTCTTCAAATTGAGAAATCACCAACAGCACAATAGGGCTCAACGCCGGCACAACACAGACATTTTTTGACTTTCCAGCTTCAACAAGTTTACCAATCAAGTTCTCTAAAAAATCATTTGAGCATATCCTCTTGAAAATTAATCCAAGCAAAAAAAAAACAGTAACAAAAATATCAGGTGATGACTAACTCTAAATAACAACACATAGCACACAATGAACAAGAAAACTACAAAATCTCAGGTGACTACAACACAGGACACGGGCAGGGTTTATTCAGGCAGGAAAAAGACACAGATTCTAATTAATCCACATGTTTACACATACAAATAGCTAAAATGTGTTTTAAAAAATAAGACTGGAAACATTTTGGGGATAATAGAAACAAAGTACTCAGCTCTGGCAAAACAAAAAGATGCTGACAACCCCATTTTTTAATGGACAAAAGAACACTGACATGCATGTCACAAAAAATGATAATCAAGGCCAGTGGACATAGAAAAGCTGTTCCAACTCAACACCTATCAAAGAGATTAAATTAAAACCATAAAAAAAAAAAAAAGAAATCCGTAAACATCCACCAAAACAGGTAAAACTAAAAATCATGCGATGGCTAGTGTCAGCGAGTAAAAGGAACTGTCCTAAGCTGCTGACGAGAATAAATTAAGACAGCAGCTCTGGCAAACCGCTTGGCTAAAGCTAAACACATGTAACCCCTGGGCTCCACCAACTCCACTGCGATCCACTCAACCTGGAAAAAACGCTTCCCAGAAGAAACTGTAGGAATGTCTTTAAATAGCATTATTGTAATTGTCAAAATTTAGAAACAATTCAAGTGTCCATCACTATGGTAAATAATGGAGACCACACAGCAATTGGAGTACCGTAATGGAGTACCATACACCAATGAAAAACATGAACATTTTCAACAGCCTGTAAACCTAGAGACATACAACTGAATAAAATATACAAAATTATATAACATATGACAACATTCCTATAAATTAAAAAAAGAAATGAAAAAAAAACTACTGCGAGTGCCTGGGCCCAAGCCCTGGCTCCACTTTCAAGCCCAGCTTCCCACTGCTGCTTGGGTCCCTGACAACTGTGTTCTAGACTCCCAGCTTCAGCCTGGCCCAGCCTGGGTTGTTGTGAGCACCTGGGAGAGTGAATCAGCGAATGGACGATCGCTGTCTGTCTCTGTCTCTCAAATAAATAAATTAAAATTTATAAAAGAAAAAATAAAGAAATGGCAAAATCAATTCTGGTAACAATCCATATCTTGCTGTAGGTACTATTTAAATTCATATGTTCACTTTGTAAAGTTCACACCCACACTGTTCTGTATATATGTAATACTATCACTTAAAGTTGACAAAATTCAGTCAAAGAGGTTCAAAATAAGTAACTCAATAATGGAACTAATGAAAAAAATTGCCAGTAAACACTGAATCCACTTCAATGCAGAAATGGTCAACCCTTTAGAAACCAAAAATGTTTCAACGTCAACAATCTAAATTTATATAATTAAAATAGCTTATTACTACTGTGTGATGCTGAAACACATTTCCACCGAATGTGGAGGGTACGTGGGGGCAGGACTTGAACCACAGGCAAGCAGACGCGATCAGCTCAGAGAGGAGGAAGCTGTCTGCTGGGGCAGCGAGCGGCAGGCAGCTCATCGGCAGTGCTGCCTCAGCTCCTGGTATCCCGCACCGGGCTAAGGGCCAGCAAGGATTTATTCAACAATGGTTAGTGATTTTCCAAAGAAACTCTGCAAAAGCCAACTAACATAGCTAAAGAGGAACACATAAAAATTAGGCAGTAACAAGGGGAGAAGGAACAAAGGGTATGTGTACATCACTCAGAGGGAGCCACAGTCTACTGTCTAAAGGCAACACAAGTGGCAGGACCAAGCTACAGACCTACCCCAGGAACAAGACCCGGGAGACTCCAATCAACAGTGCTTTTTGTTGACTTGGGCAGGCAACTCTAGAGAAAAATAGCCAACGGAAGTATTAATGTCCTTTTAACTTGGCAAAGCTCTTTCCAGTGAATGAAGCTGTTCTCAACCCTGAAGGGACAGGGAGGAATTCTGTCAGGACACACCTACATGTTATTGATCTCTGTAGCCCCAGAGATCAAGGTTAGATCAGGCACATAAATCAGACCTTATTTATACATAACTGTTGAAAGTTAATGTAACAAAATGCACGGAATCCAACAGCTACTGCACTGTACTGCCGGATTCAAGCAAAAGTGTTCAGTTTCAATCAACAAGGAAAACGTTCAGCTCTGTACTTTTTAAGGGCAGATGTACACTTGGCCTCTTTGCTAGCTAACCTTATAATACACCAACATTCCGTGCTTCCGACGAAACTCCGGCCGCTGGACTGTAGACATTTCCATGTAGGTAAATTCCTATCTTACCTTCCTTTCCAAATATACTACACCATAGTCAAGCATGGCTACCAAAAATTAACAGTAACCTTCTTCATTTCATGGCTGATCAATTTCTTTCAATCATAAAAGCTATCTCTTAGGAATATAAGGAGAAATATACACTGAACTGATTAAGCCTATCCATTTCCAAAAGAGAGTTGAGCTTGATAAATACAAAACACATACACTTCATAGTTTAAAAAACTGGAACAAAGGGAAAGAGAACAAATATGATAATCATAAGCATTAACAGAATTTCCAAGATTAAGCATCACATTTAGAAGCCTCATATTTTGTCCTAAGCTTCTTGGTAACCACAGCAAAAAAAAGGAGGGGAGGGGGCACATGAATTTACACATTGCTAAAAACCAAACAGCTCTATGTCAGAAATGAGTACACAAAACACAGTGAGCTCACGAAGCAAATCTCCTACTAGTTCATTCAGTCCCACCCCAAATGAAGCTTTCTGCCTGCAGGGGAGGATCCAACAGGGCTCTCCAGTCCTCTGAAGTTCCCAAGGAGTACCTGGGTATGTACCTGGGTACTGGGGCCGCAGACGGGAGCTCTGCAGCAGACCGGCCTGCTCGGCCGTCGAGCCAGCCAGGCTGCAGGGAGCACACCCCCCAGCAGACCCGTCATCGAGCCAGCCAGGCTGCAGGGAGCACACCCTCCAGCAGATGGCCGTCGAGCCAGCCAGGCTGCAGGGCGCACACCCCCCAGCAGACCGGCACCAACAACAGGGACGTGCAAAGGAAGGAACTGCTCTGGACAAGTTCTGGCTGCAGAAGAGACCTCACCTCTCAAGCAGTAAAATGTTAGACAACAACACTAAGGCAGCCAGCTGCAGACCCCAACACAGGGACTCTGTCCTGAGCAGTACGAAACATGCTCTGTATTTAAGCATGTATGCAAACAGGAAGTTTGCTACTTTTCTGAAAAGTCCCCCTCAGTCTTCCACGTCACTGTCTTCATTTCAAACCTGACGTGGTTTTCAGCATACCTGCAGGCCACAGAGATGCAGCACATGCAAGTCACACAGACCTGCGACTTCAGATTCTACAAAGGAAGTTCAAGCCATCATCTGATTTTGAAATCCCTATCTCCTCTGTAAGTTAAAGACTTTAGAAAATCATTTAGTATGCCTCTGATTTCAAAGAGAGAAAAACACTTTTTAGTTATTTTTCTTATGGCTTGGAATATGAGATTTCCAAAGAAATTTACTGGAATTTAGAGTTAATGACAGTAGAAATGGTAATATAAAAATATTTTTCTTCAGAAAGTAGCCTTCCCCTCCCATATAAAAACAGCTAATATATTTTATTAAATAATTTCAGATAACAGAGGAAATCAGAAAGCTTATCAATAAGTTAATTATTAAAAGCAACCAAAAGTAAATCAATAAGGTAATGCATACCTGCAAAATCTAAATTTAAATGGTATCAGGGGTCTTTACATGTTTACAAAGTATTTCTACCTTAAGTTTATTATTTCTTAACATTTCCCTCCAAATAATGAATCCCCTTGTATGCAGATACTTTCTATGGAACATTTTGTATGTTAAAATGGTAAGTACATCACACAACAAGGCCGTTCTCTAATGGTGAGACACTTTGGCCACAGCACAAACAAGGAAAAACCAAGGAACACGTAAAACCCAAAGGGGCAACCTGGGAATAAAAGAACATATAAATCACTAACTCAGTGCCCCATCAAAACCCTCCTGCCAGATACCAGCATTCCAAATTAAAGTCACTCAGGAACGTGGTAACTTGCTGCTGGACTCAAGACACACGTCAACACTCACTTTCCTGCAAGCCCTCCACACGCTCTGTTCTCACACAGGAAGCACCAGCAGTCTGTCACTCACTTCACTGATACTGCTCAGCGACCTAAAATCAGGAGCTGTGGCGATTATAATCACAATAAGCCAAAAGGATAACTTAGAAACAAAATTCACCTTCGTCACTGTCTTCGCTTTCAAATCTCCGTTCTCCACAACACTGAGGTCCAGTTTGCCATCATCCTTACTTCCTATAGCTTTTAGTCCTTGCAGAAGAATATCTCGTAAATTTTGATAAAGAGGTTTTTCAGTATAGCCCAGTAATTTCACTGTTTCCAAGTATTTAGCAATTTCACCTAAAAGAATAAATCATTTTATTATAAATTTTAATCACAAATCCAAAATATTTATTTTCTTCTCCTAAGAAAATTATTCACAGATATAATCAGATTAGAATGGAAATGTACATCTTGTTGAGACATAATTTTTTTAAATCATTTCAATGAAAAATATGCTTTTGAATTCAGGAATTATCAAAGTCAAAAAAATTATTTTGAGATAACATGTAAAAACATTTTTGTAATTCTGAGCAACAATGAGAAATACATAATTAAAATTTAAATATGCATTAAAAATAATCATTTAAAACCATAAAAAATAAAAAGGGCCTAGAATAATTATGAAAGTAAATCCTTTTTTTTTTTTTTTTTTGCTATAGAAGCCACTAGTTGTATGGCACATGGCTAGATTCTTTGTGTAAATGAGAAATAAAACACACCCAAAACAGGTTAACAAAGAAAAAAGAAAGCAAGACAAACAAGGTCTTCCCATGAAGAAAAACCGGCTTCTGAATGCTAACAGGTTTATTGCACACTGAGACAGAACCACACCATAAAAAGCCTGGTAGCCAAAGTCAACACCTGTCAACATCAACAAATCCCCTTCCACTTCCTCAGCCCTAGACTTGGACCCACTGCCTCGTACACAGGTCCTGGAGGTGTGAGTGCCATCCGCTCCAATCCCAACAAAGCCTAACCCTCTAGCTCCTCAACCTAAAATCTTAAGAGCAGTCATCCTTAAATCTTTGCTTCCCACACATCAAAAGATTTGGTCAGTCCTACATATACACAGTCACTAATTCAAATACTATGAATCAGGCACTGTTCTGGATTCTTAGAACTTATCAGGAAAAACAGAGACAAAAACCCCAAACGTCCACTTTCCTCCTCTGATGGAGACCCACAAGAACCATAACATGAACACCGCCATGTCTGGCTGAACACTGAGACCGTTCCCAGGGAGGAGGAGACGTGACAAAGACACCACTCTACCACTGCAATTCAGTGTGACAGAGCAGGCCGGGTGATTTCAACCAGTGTAAGATGGTAAGAAAAGAAACAGAAGGCAGAAAGAATGGAACAGGAAATGTAAAACAGTCTTCAGTCACAAACAACACAATCATACACATAGAAAATCCCACACAATCTACAAAACTACTAGAACCAACAACAGGCACATCTAGCAAGGTTACAGGATGCAAAATAAATAAATAGAAACCTAACTTATTTCTATACACCAGCAAAAAGCAATTTGGAAAATGAAACTGTTAAAAGCTACCACCAAAAAGCTTCAAATATCTAACAACAAATGCAATAAAATATGGGTGAGATTTTTTCAGATTATAAACAGTTAAGAGAAATTTCAAGACCAAATTTAATGCCATTCTATTGTACTAAAAAATTCAACAGTATATAAAGATGTCAGGGCTCCCCCAAATTAGTCTGCAGAGCTAATTCAGTCCCAAAGTTCCAGCAAACTGAGGGGCGCGTGTGTATGCGTTTATGTGTATGTGTGCGTGCGTGTGTGTGCGTATGTGCACGCGAGTGTGCGTGTTGGTATATGTGATTCGAAAGGTGAGTCTAAGCAGAAATGCAAACAACCCAGAAGAGCAAAACAGCACAGTCAAGTTAAAGAAAAACAGTGATAGAGGACAAACCACCAGGTGTCACGACATAAGATAAAGCTATAAGACAGTATAGCTCAACAGACCAAAAGAAAAGTGCATGCATTTGGCATAGTGGTTAAGATGCCACTCCCGGGCTGGTGATGTGCTGTAGAAGGTTAAGCCCCTGCCTGTAGCATCAGCATCCGATATGGGCACCGGTTCAAGTCCCGGCTGCTCCACTTTCGGTCCAGCTCCCTGCTAATGCACCTGGGAAAAGCAGCAGAAGACAGCCCAAGGGCATGGCCCCCGCACCCACCTGGGCAACCCAGAAAGAGCTCCTGGCTTCAGCCTGGCCCAGCCCTGGCTGTTGCTGCCATCTGGGGAGTGAACCAGCAGATGGAAGATCTGTCTGTCTCCTTCTCTCTGCATCTCTGCCCTTCAAATAAATAAATCTTCTTAAAAGTCAATAAACCTTAAAAACAAAAAAAGACAGGATTCCCTTCGGGTTGCCTGCATTCCACACTGGAGTGCCTGTGTTAGTCCCAGCTCCACTCCCAAGTCCAGCTCCCTGCGAACACAGACTGGGAGGCAGCACCTGACGGCTCAGTAGCTGGGTGCCTGCCACCTGCACTGAGACCTGGACTAAGCTCTCTGGTTCCTGGCTTCAGCCAGGCTCAGGCCCGTTTGCTGCAGACATTTGGGGAGTGAACCAGCAGATGAGGGCATTAATTAAATATTTTTTAAAACCTGACAAAAAAGAACAGTTTAAAGAGTCCAGAAACAGATCCACAGATCCACACTTGTTTTATGCCAAAGGTGTCACCGGTGGAAAAGAATGGTCTTTTCTTTCAAGAAAAGTTGTGGGGGTCAAATGGATATAAACAGGGAATGAAGAAGAAAATGACCCCTCCTTGGAGCTGGCGTGGTAGAGTGGGCTGATACACTGCAATGCAGGTCTCCCACACTGAAGTGCTAGTTCAAGTCCCGCTGCTCCACTTACTAATGTGCCTGGGAAAGCCTTCTCTCTCTCTCTCTCTCTCTCTCTCTCTCTGCCTCTCCTTCTCTAACTCTGACTTTCAAATAAATAAATAAATCTTTTTTTTTTTAAAAAAAAAAAAAGGGTTTGTTTTTTGTTTTACTTATTTAAAAGAGTCACAGACAGAAAGAGAGGACAGACAGACAGACAGAATCTTCCATCCACTGGTTCACTCCCCAAATGGTCACAACGGCCAGAGCTGGGCCAATCCAAAGCCAGGAGCCAGGAGCTTCTTCAGGGTCTCCCACATGGGTGCAGGGTCTTGGGCCATCTTCCACTGCTTTCCAAGGCACATTAGCAGGTAGCTGGATCGGAAGTGGAGCAGCCAGGTGTCAAACCGGCACCCAATATGAGATGCAGGCGTTGCAGTCAGCAGCTTTACCTGCTATGCTACAATGCCAGCCCCTTGGCAGGGATTTTCAATTAATGTATTCAATGATGTATAACCAATGTCTAGAATAGCTGTTGGCGCACAATAAAGTCTCAATAAATACTAGGTGAATAAATGAATTAAATTTGCTTTATTTCCTGAAAACAATGAACAATGATTGAACAGGACTCAACTATTCAACAACTCACCTTTGGGAAGGGATGTGCTTTTCTCATGAAGCAGCCTCAATACAGTGATTAAACACCCAGAACTGAGATATATATAGACAGACAGATACAGACATAGACACAGACATAGATATCATGCCTTTTTTCTCCCACAAAAACCAAAATCTCTATGAACGTTTAAGAAATTTTCCTACCTGGCTTGTTTTTCTCAGGAAAACATTTATCCATCAAACCTGCAATATCTTCTCTGTACCTGTTACAGAATGAATCATGGTTTGAAGCTTCATGTCACGCACAGGACATTATTAACATCTAATAACAATGACGGGCACATAAGCAGCATCGTGTCACATCCTACACATGCTGACAGACTCTCCTAAGATAAACGGACAGGCACCAGCACTTGGTGTACTGGGTTAAGCCAGCATCCCTACAGGAGCACAAGTTCCAGGCCTAGGTGCCCAGACGCAGACCCAGCTTCCTGCTCATGTACCTGGGAAGGCAGGGAAGACGGTCCAAGTACTTGGGCCCTTCCACCCATGTGGGAAACCAGGATGGTCCCAGCTTTCTGGCTTCAACCTGACCATTGCCGGGAAGTACATCAACAGATGGAAGATCTCCTTCTCTTTCATTCCCTCTTTCAAGTACATAAATCTTTTTAAAAAATAACATAAATTGAACAAAAAACCAACGAACTTTATTGTTTTACAAGTACTTTCTTATTTCTACAATAAGATCAGGTGAAACTATAATTCTTGACAGAAATTCTGACTAAAACACTTTCTTTATCCTGATTTTGTCCAGAACAATTTATTTTAGGTTCTCCTTTACCTAATTTTGGAATCTCTAACATAGTTAGGGTCTTTCAAATTATCCTCCCAAGGAAGATGGCCACTGAGCCACTGGACCATGCAGTAACCAAGGATTTCCAAATCACCACGTCTCGATGGGGCTGCAAAGACAAAAGATAAAGTATATTGAAATACCTCCCACGGTGCAAGTTCAAGTATCCACAAAGCGACAAAATAAAACAGTCCAATTCCAAGTCTAGTTTTCATCATAAAATTTTCAGAATCATTTTTTTAACAGAATCAATTTCTTATTTGACAGATAGAGTTAGACAGTGAGAGAGAGAGACAGAGAAAAAGGTCTTCCTTCCATTGGTTCACCCCCTAAATGGCCGTTACGGCCAGAGCTACGCCAGTCTGAAGCCAGGAGCCAGGTGCTTCTCCTGGTCTCCCATGGGGTGCAGGGCCCAAGCACTTGGGCCATCCTCCACTGCCCTCCCGGGCCACAGCAGAGAGCTGGACTGGAAGAGGGGCAACCGGGACAGAATTAGGCACCCCACATGGGATGCCAGCGCTGCAGGCGGAGGATTAACAGAATGAGCCACAGTGCCAGCCCCCAAAACATTCTAATTAAGCAAAATAAAGCCACAAAGAAGCCCTCCTTGCAGCTGAGTGAATCACCTCACTGCCAGAACCTTCTTGGTTGTCTGAGGGAGGGAGGAGGGAGGAGGGAGGAAACACAAGATGGCTGGCGACACACTGCAGGGCCTGTGCCATCTGTCCTCTGACCTACTGCTGCCTCTCAACTCTTATTTACTAACTTATCCATTTATTTGGCCCTAATTAAGACCTGGGCAGAGCCTGGTCAAAAACATTAGCAATTTATTTCTCATTCAGGTACCTCCTGACATACCCACGCCATTGTGTGCATCGATACTGGTGAATTCAAGGGTGCCGTCGTGACACCTCTTGGGGTCTTCTTTGTATTCTTTATGAACTCCTTCTGGGCAGTATCGATAAGCAAGGCCATAGTCCACCAAGTACACCTATAAATTTCCAAGTACCAAGACAAATTAAAGCCAAAATCATTAAAGCACAGAAATAAAATACTGTCGTGGGGGTGGAGTAACTGACAGGACTATACCAAAACACTCTAAAAAGTCAAATCCAAAATGCAAACAGCAGCAAATATTGAATTCTGAGGGACTTTTTTAAAAATAAAAATGTTAACTAACCATGTAGCTACAGTTCAGATAATACCACATGACTTTATGTACTTCGTCGACAACTATGTGCTACACTTGTAATTACTCATCTGCTCAACTGGAGCAAGGAGTGTAACTCTTACGCTTTTTCTTACAAAAATGTTCAAAACAAAATTGAACAGTCACACTGATTCAACACAACTGCCACTTTCTGCATAAAAGAGCACAGCACCCCACACAGGGCCAGCGATGCCCCTGACGGAGGGCACGTCAGTCGCAGTCTCGTCCTGTTGCTTCACTTAAAAATAATCAAATACTAATTTACTCCATAAAACATTTCACAGTAAAATCACGATCTGAAGAACTTTTAGATGAGACCCTTACCTACATTTAAATACTATATATTAATAAGTCAAGTCTTCATAATTAAAACTGAATTTAATATCATATCCACACACATTTCCGGGCAATTACAACTGGTCTTATTAGCACACAAAGCTAATAAATTTGGCTTTCTTTTATTCCATCGCCACATATTACATCTTTAATTCTGGTAACTGTGACACAGGAATGCATGTGTGCACAAAGAGAAACTGAAAGTAAAAATATGGAGATGGATCCGGCACACACATAAAATGTTAGAAGAACAATCCCATCCAAAGCGCATGCCTAAAGGGTGACCAAGCTGAAAAATCTTTCGATAAAATAAAAAATGTAGCCTGTTGTAGTCAACCGCAAACTGATATATATATAAGTGATACAAGTATTTCTGCTTATTACATTGTACAAATCCAGTCTACTTCAATTAACAATGTCCTCCTTGTTCAGGTTCTCAGCTAACAGAGAAACAGCTAGAACAAGAGGGCTAAAAAGAACTGGATAACTGCCTCCGGCGGTTCCCCATCAGCACACAAGCACAGCATCTTCCTTTTGTTCCATCTGCCGGGACTGACTTTGGGAGAGGAGAAGCAAACCCATGAGATGGTCCGAAAACAACGAGAGTCAAAGGAAAAACCAGACATAAAGACAGGTTTGAGAAAGAAGGATGAAATAGAGAACGCTGAAAAATAATTACATAAAGTGCCCAACACATTTAAAATGTGTAAATCTCCCTTTTATACACGAGATCAAGAGAAAAGGCAGACTTCCCGTGAATTCGCAGGCCCAACTGCGAGTGTCAGCTAAAGCCTCCTTTACCAGGCTCACAGGACAGCTGCACGGAATCACAGGTCCCTCTACTCCAGCTAACGGACCCAGACACAGGCAGGGTACTACTAGCATCTTTTCTTTCCTTAGAAAGTAAATTACAAAGAAAATGTAATAAACTTTAAAAAATGCACGCTGGAATTCTAAACACCAAGCGTATACAAATTTAGACAGCTAAGGTATTTCTGTAAACCAATTGATTTGAACAATCAACATGTTAAAGACCAAATTTTCCAAGTAACAGAACACTTACATTTGATGGATTTCTTGAACAAAGGAAATAAAAAAAGTGACAAAGCAGACAGGCAAACATAATTCATTGGTGTACTATATAATTTTAAGCTTCCACTCCCAAATAGCTATTTGAAATTCATTTTGTATCACAAGTACTTCTTCTGAATATTATTTAGGGCAAAATAGCCAACTTGATAAAGTGCCAACAAACTGCATCGAAACGGAGAATGTTAACTAGATAAAAGTGTCAAGAAGAAATATTATTATCACCATATCTACTTCAAAAAGTAAAACTTCTGCGTGGGTTCAAAAGTTCAAAGCGACCATACTTGTTTCCAAACAACACATTTTAAATAGTAGAAATTAAAGATACACAACTACCTGGTCAGGATTCTTGTAGCTCAGGAGGAGATTCGAGGCCTTGATATCTCCATGTACATACTCATGCTCGTGAATATATTCCAGAATATCCAGCTAGGAAAGCATCACACAGGAGAAATTAATGTAATACCTAACGCCAACCAGCAGAGGACCGAGCTCCAACATGCTAGCCTTTATTAAAAAGAATTCTTTGAAAACAAAAATGTAGCTCACATACAATTCTTAAGCTTAGCTGCAAGACAGTTTTCCGAGAAAACCTTCTGGCATTTGCTTCGTATATTTTCTGAAGGTCACTCCCAAAGCGATCCATTATCATAAACCTGTAACTGAAGACAAACAAGAAAAGTCAATGAACAAAATATAACTCAGGAAAATCTACTTTGCAATGACTAATACCCTTTCAGAGTAATTTGTTCCAAGGCAAAGTTTAGTAAGACAGTATTCTAAAGAAATAACCCAAGAGAAATATAAACGTTTGGAACAATTTCCCCCACTAGAAAGCTCAAGCCCAGCCTACTGCTCTGTCCTCTGTCCCCAGAGGGTCTCCGCTCTCTGCTGGTCACTGCACACAAGACCTGAAGATACCGCTCACAGAAAGAACCCAGCAGATCCATCCACAGGAAAGATAAAGCACTCTGAATAAGAATGAAGGCACCGATTTTTCTCATTAAGTTCATTTATTTTTCTGGATATTAGCTTCCTTCCTGTGATGATTTTTCTCTAATTTTTAAAGTACATTCCAGCAGTATCAACATTCTGTTAAAATAAAGACTGCCAAGGGACGCTGCTGACAACAGCTAAATTCAATCAAAATCACTTAAATGGTAAGAAGGCATAGTATGTTTGACATTCAGTGGGTGAGACTGGAGGGAGAACAAACATGCAGGAAAAAAATGAAGACTTTTGGTTCTGCCAAAAACCAGCTACATCACCTTGGTTAAGTCCCACTAACCCCTGAGCCTCCTGTCCATGGGAGTAAAACGACAGTGAAGACCCACCGTTTCCAAAGTCTTTTCGGTGACTGGGTGCTACAGTTCACAAAGTACTGAAAACATCACTGATGAGCAGTGACCCTGTCCACTGAAAACATCACTGATGAGCAGTGACCCTGTCCACTGAAAACATCACTGATGAGCAGTGACCCTGTCCAGGTTTTGCTCTGAGGACTTCCTTTGTCTTCAACAGTTTTCCAGGTTCCAACTTGTCTGGCTAAATCATTCAATAAACCAACAAAAAACAAGAACACACCCAAAATGTATCAAGGTGCCTCTGGTGGGGAGGAGAGGAAGACGTCCTCACCACTACGGACAGCGCTTACGGAACGCCTGGCCCGAGCAGTACCCTGAGCAACGTGACAGAGGAACGTCCAGCACAGGAAAGTAAGTAATGTGTCCTCGAGTATGCAATGAAGCCAAACTTTGGACCACTGAACCACCAATACTTAAGTAAACATCAGTTGGAAAACAAAATTCCCGCTTGTATGCCTTTATAATAAAAATATAGTATGACAAGTGGAATAGAGAAGGAGAGCTGATTAACACTGAGAGCTAACAAGCCAGTGAATGGGCGTTCAGTCTCGCAGTCAAGGCGCCATGTCCCACACTGCAGTATCCGGGTACAACTCCCAGCTCTGGCTCCTGACTCCAGCTTCCTACTAACCCAGACCCTGGGAAGCAGCAGTGGTGGCTCAGTTAATCAGCTTCCTGCCCACCCTTGGGTGAGATCTGCACTGCATCCCTGGCTCCCAGCTTTAGCCCCAGCCCAGCCCTGGCCATTGTGGGAATTTGGGGAGAAAACCAGCAAATGGGAGCCATTTCTCTGCTGTGCGTGTGTGTGTGTGTGTGTGTGTGTGTGTGGGTGGGTCTCCATCTCCCAAGTAAATAAATGACGACATGCCAAATAAAAAAACTCAGGATTCTACCCCATAAAAATGTACAATTATTATATGTAATTACAAATAAAAAATTTTTAAATTCAGAATTTTATCTGATTTTGAACTAGAGGAGATTTGGAGATCATCTTGTCTACACATCTTTTAATAAATAAAATAATGTTTATGGAGGCAAAATGATTTGTCCAAAGTCAGACAATTAATCAGTGGTAAAATGTGTTAATTCATGTAACATTTCCCAATACCTCTAAGATAATAAAGAGAGAACAATAATTTTGATTTCCTGATTTCCTTTGATATCAGGTTTTGAAAGTTTGAGAGATGACATCAGAACCTATGTTGGCCGGCGCCATGGCTCACTAGGCTAATCCTCCGCCTTGTGGCGCCCGCACATTGGGTTCTAGTCCCGGTTGGGGCGCCGGATTCTGTCCCGGTTGCCCCTCTTCCAGGCCAGCTCTCTGCTGTGGCCAGGGAGTGCAGTGGAGGATGGCCCAAGTGCTTGGGCCCTGCACCCCATGGGAGACCAAGAGAAGCACCTGGCTCCTGCCATCAGATCAGCGCGGTACGCCGGCCACAGCAGCCATTGGAAGGTGAACCAACGGCAAAAGGAAGACCTTTCTCTGTCTCTCTCTCTCACTGTCCACTCTGCCTGTCAAAAAAAAAAAAAAAAAAAAAAGAACCTATGTTCTTGTTTTCTTCTACATATAAATGACATCTGCAATTTTAATAATAGAGGTAACAAAAATACAACCTCTGCTGACAGCCTGAACGAAGACTAAAACGCAACTGCTTAATCTGATATGGAATCTAATAACACACCACATTAAGTAGACCTTTGCTTTCGTTCGCATAGCACCCACCACTACTCTAAACAACCCCTTAATCTCATATTTCTAAATTATAAACATCAACTGAAGCAGGATCCATGAATTGCATGGAAGCTGTCACCACATGCTAGTCAAAGACGGCTCCACCGCTGAGCAGCCAAACTGAAGTCATCTCTGAACAACCGCTAAAGCAAGACCCGTGAAGTACACATCTTCTGGGGACTTGGATAAAATGACACAAGAAACGGGAAAATATTAAATGAGAATAAAATAATCTGATGATGATAGCTAACATTTTTACTATCTTAACACTGTGTGTATTAATTTAAATGAGTCAGAGACAAGTGAAGATTTCTGATGGGGAGGAAGACAGAAGAGTGATCTTACTTTCTGTTTCTCTACTCTTTATAAAGACTTATAGCCGGCGCCGGCACCCCGGGTTCTAGTCCCGGTTGGGGTGCCGGATTCTGTCCCGGTTGCCCCTCTTCCAGGCCAGCTCTCTGCTGTGGCCCAGGAGTGCAGTGGAGGATGGCCCAAGTGCTTGGGCCCTGCACCCCATGGGAGACCAGGAGAAGCACCTGGCTCCTGCCATCGGATCAGCACGGTGCACCGGCCGCAGCGGCCATTGGAAGGTGAACCAACGGCAAAAGGAAGACCTTTCTCTCTGTCTCTCTCTCACTGTCCACTCTGCCTGTCAAAAAAAAAAAAAAAAAGACTTATGAATACTTTTAAGAGCTTCCACTGAAAAAGTAAATCGATGCCTTACACATTGTTTCTGAAGAAGATTTTTTTTTTTTAAAGATTTATTTGAAAAGCAGAGTAACAGACCGGCAGAAGCAGAGAGAAATCTTCCATCCACTGGTTCACGCCCTAAATGGCCACAATGGCCAGAGCTGAGCCAGTCCCAAGCCAGGAGCCTCTTCAGGGTCTCCCTTACTGGTGTGGGCCCAAGCACTTGAGCTATCTTCTACTACTTTCCCAGGCCACAGCAGAAAGCTAGATGGAAAGTGGAGCAGCCAGGACTCGAACCAGCGCCCATATGGGATGCCAACGCCATAGGCAGAGCCTAGCCCACTACGCCACAGCACCGGCCCCAGAAGACATTTCTAACAACCTCATTTTATAAAAGAAATGGGCTGAGTGGTAAGGTCACCACTAGTAACAATGAGGTAAGACGTGGACTGAGTATGTCTGGTTCTAGCCAGGGAGGTTAACTTTGAAAGCATCCTCATCAGGCACCTTAAAGTCAGCCATCAACCCACCACCACCAGGCCCCTCCCCCACACAAGCCCTGTTTAGACAAGATCTGAGTTTTATCATAAAGCAAGTAGTAAGAACGTACATGATGGGGCTGGCACTGCAGCGCATGCAGCCTTGCAATGCTGGCATCCCATTATCCCTCTGCTGGTTTGAGCCCAGACTGCTCCGCTTCCCATCCAAGCTCCCTACTAAAACAGCTGGGAAGGCAGAGGAAGATGGCCCAAGTGCTTGAGCCCCTGCCACCCGGGAGGGAGACCAGGATGGAGTTCCTGACTCCTGGCTTCAGACTGGCCCAGCCCTGGTAATTGCAGCCATTTGGGGAGTGAACTAGTGGATGGAAGATCTCCCTCTCCCTCTCTCCCTCTCCCTGTTACTCTAACCTTCAAATAAATAAACATATGTTTTTTTAAAGAAAAGAATGTACATGTAAAATGTGCTGGCACAGTGTAGGCAGCTTTAAGAAAAGCCACTATTCTCAAGCAAAATACCACTGTTCCCAAATAGAAATAAACAAAACCACTCATAACCACGAAGGGAACTGAGGCAGAATGAAATAACTTACCCAAAGTCACAAACCTTGTAATGGGCAAAGCACAGATTTGAAACTAGGTTGTCTGTTTTAAATTCTTACCCTTGACTAATCTTCAGTCTATAGAATTTCACCAGGAAACTCTCATTAAAACTTTGGAAACGTCTTCCAACAAAATCTTATGTAACAAAACATTACATGTGATTTCAGGGACCCCTCCACGCCCTAAGAGAAGTACAAATCCCAAGTAAGCATCACTGCCTACCCGATCACCCACTCTGTTCTAACAGAGAATTGACCTGGTTCAGGCACCCATCCTCCTCCAGGTCCACGCTGCACCAAGTCCATCTCTGGGATGACTGCGCCTTGCCAACGACTGCTTCAAGAAACAGAACTTGGGGCTGGCGCCGCGGCACAGCAGGCTGAGCCTTCACCTGGGAAGCTGCCATCCAACGTCTGTGCTGATTTAAGTCCTAGTTGCTCCACCTCCAATCCAGCTCCCTGCTAACGCACCCGGGAAAGCAGCAGCAGATGACCCAAGTGCCTGGGCCCCTACGCCCATGGGAGACCTGGATGAAGCTCCTGGCTCTTGGTTTCAGCCCTACGCCCATGGGAGACCTGGATGAAGCTCCTGGCTCTTGGTTTCAGCCTGGCCCAGCCCCAGCCATTATAGCCATTTGGGGAGTGAACAAGCAGATGGAAGATATCTCCCTTTCTCTCTCAATATTTCAAATAAATACTCTTTAAAAAAAATAAAAATAGCTTTGATAAAATTCTAACCATGAAAACATGAGAAGTCTGCCACAGGATCCTTGGGGTTTCCTTGCCAGCAAAATGAAGCTCATAAAAGGCGGTCCCATTTTCTGCCTTTGGATACGATGGTCACATGTGATGCCCAGAGGGGGGCAAAAGCACACGAGCAGGTGGCAAGGTGACGACTGAATGACTCTTGAAGGGCTCCTGTTTGCATAAAAGATGTGTGTGTGCGCGTGTGCGTGTGTAAAGGAAGATGAAGATGGGTGTGTGTGTGCGCGCGTGTGTGTGTGAACGCAGGGCCTACTGGGCTCTGCTCCTACTTGTCACCCGGGGTGTGTGTGTGTGTGTGTGTGTGTGTGTGTGGGTGTGTGGGTGTGTGTGTGTGAACGCAGGGCCTACTGGGCTCTGCTCCTACTTGTCACTGGGTGTGTGTGTGTGTGTGTGTGTGTGCACGTGCATGTGAATGTGAAAGCAGGGCCTACTGGGCTCTGCTCCTACTTGTCACCAGGTGTGTGTGTGTGTGTGTGTGTGCACGCGCGCATGTGTGTGTGTGAATGCAGGGCCTACTGGGCTCTGCTCCTAGGGAAACTGCTCTCAGAAGTCCTCCAGGCAGGCCCTACGCTAACGGGCTTCACGGTCTGCTGCGAGGGAACGCAGAGGCCACAGAAACGCCTCATTATCTGGGTCGCATATACTGCACGCAGGCCTGGCAAAGGCCTAGCAATATTCTGAGCTTTCAATAGGTAACTCTTGACTAAACCAACTGGACGGAGAATACTCAAGAGAGAAGAAAAACTATTTAATTTTTACCTTTTTCCATTTTTATCATGCAGACCAGACCCCCAATACTTAGGAACACCCAGGTACTTCAGTTTATGGGTACGAATCCATTTCTGAACTACAAATCAAAACAGATGCTGGTGATCTCAGCTGTTATGCACAAATGATACTTGGTTAAACATCACTAAGAGCAGAATATACTTCTACATGCAACAAGATTTCACTTTTATAATGTACAATATAAAAAGTACTTTACAGTGCAAGCATATTTTAACCTTCTAAATTCCGTTATCTTTCCTTCAACACTGTCTTAAAAAATGAAAAAACTACTAAAAGCATTTTCAAAAAATCAAAACCACACAACTGCGGTTGCAGTTAATCTGATTATACTAATGTTACATGCTTCCCCAGGAAAATTTGTTTTTTACCATACTCTGTAAGGGGACCCTCCCCAAAAGTCTTCCACCAGGGAACCCACCATAGAAGAGAAGGACAGTGGCCCCGAGATTCTCAGAGGCAAGCGGGCGGGCAGCAGCCAGGGCAGTCTGCCGTCTACAGGGGTACCTCTGCTCTACCCAGCGGTTACGGCATCCCCTGGGGTGACATTCTCCAGAATTCAGAAAAATCCTCAAGGTTTGAACATCCTTGAGCCATACACATGGATTAGGGTAAATTCTCAATTATATATTTTTTTAGTTATATATCATTTATTAGCTTTATCTATGTATTAATTCAGGTGAAATCTTGTCATAATAAACCCATTAAGAGATCAAAATTCTTTCATACAACTCTTTAAAACAGAATTTATTTATAAAGCAGAAAATAACGAGGGGTCATAAGATGTGACGCTTATTAGCCTTGGCTTAAACAAACAAGACAAAACACACTTGTCATTTTACAACTATAAACGTACACATACTGAAGCTCTTACTTTGCTCTGGTTTAGCAGCTCGTTGGTAGAACTTTAATTCAGTAAAAAGAGGTCCATTGTCACTCGGTTCCTTAAAATATAAGAGTTAATTAGTACTAGCAGTACTGAGTTATTTTCAGTGAACCTCCAAAATAGACTAACAAATCAACTTTTCTTTCCAAACAACATAATTCTGGTACTTAATTTCATAACTGTGTTAAAGATTAAGTCAGACTCCTTAGAAATGTTTTAGACATTCTCAGAATAGTCCATAAGTCTTATATTTCTCTCAAGTTCTATTTCTATAAGTGATAAATTATACAAAAATCAGATATACAGCTCAGTCTTTGCAGAAGTTTAAGAAAAACCTTTAAACTAATTTTCATCTTTATTAAGCTTTCCCTTAAGCAAAGATCAGCAACCATGTTAACTGTATCACCGAGGGGCTACATGGTATTTCTGAGATTTAATAAAATTTCCATACCTGACTTAACCAATTAGTGGCAAAACCTGCTCCTCTCCTGTCTCTCCTGACGGCTCTGTCTCGTTCCTCAGGACCACAGAGGAGGGCGCGCGGGCACATGCGGCCCTTCCACGCACGCTTTCCTGACACACTTCCCATGGTTTCCAAACCACAGCCCGATGACTTACTTCCCACGTGGTAACTCAAAGTCAAGAAGAAACCAGAGCTGCCTAACAACTGCTTCCCACTAACTTTACTTGTCTATTTTCATCTCATATTTTAAGAGATATTAATAAAATGTTTTTATAAACAAGCATACATTCACAACAAGGTACTTGCATAACCAAAAAACAATAGCTTATTAGGAGTTCTGCTTTGTTAAGTAAATACAGAAGGGCAGGGAAGATCTTGAAATTCTGTTGACTTTTTAAACAGTAAATTTTTCTAATTAATATTATTAGTATTTAATGTTTGATATTTTGTGTTGGTTATTATCTTGTTTATTGGGAATCAGAAAAAAATTATAAGCAGTTAAAAACTTCAAATGAAGAAGCTGACATATCTGAACTGATTTTAGAGTTGCTTTTCTTTAAGGAGACTTGGGGAAATTGTTCTGGACAGAAGCGATGTAGCTGGAGTCCAGGGTTCAGCAGCACTCCTGGGGAACGGGCGGCGGGGCTCGGCAGCCCCAGCAAGAGAACGCTGGGAAGTCCCGGCCTTCCGCTACTGAGGAGGCCTCCTGCAAACGCTTGTAAAATATGTTCACTTTTCTCATGCCACACGCTCTCGACTCTCACAGAAGTTAGTTCTTCTTGAAGGTTAGACAAAATTACTTCCATCATCTCAGACTAAATCCAGTCCAACACGTAGGGCCCCCGTGACTGTCCACAGAAGATGGCCAGGGAGGGGCCACGCAGCTGTGAGCAAGCACCAGACAGAACACGGACGGCACACAGCCTGGAAAGCCTGCCTCGCTCACTCCAGGCGAGTGCACAGAAGAGAGTACATGCAGCGTGGCCACACCTCAAGAAGCAGGAACCAACCAGCACACCGAGTCCCAGCAGTGGACTGCTCGCCTCCAGGCCCTCACAACCTGCAGCTCCCCTAGCAGCAGTGGTACCTAGAGAGACACTGCATGCTCCCACCAGGGGCTTCCCGGAACAGGCCCCCTGCAGGACTCACAGGACCCACGTAAGAATGGAAGAAAGGGAAACCGGAGAGGAAAGAATTCTGGTAGTTCTTTTCAAAGACTAACTTTCAGAAGAGCTCATCAATACACTTCAGGTTTGAAAAGGTATGCCTAAGACAAATTCTGCCTTATTCAGCTTCAACCTATGTCATATCAACTTTAATTTTCAAGTTTTCCTTCAGGCAATAATTTATTAAACTTATAATAATGAGAATCAACTATATAAATCAGACTATTATAATGAAAGCCTCACTACAATGAAGGCTCTTTGAGCTCATTTCATACTTCTTCTAATCCAATAAGCTTCCATTATAACAAAATAAAGGAGCTACTTGCTTGGCATTGCACTCTAGTCAGAGCTAGCTATTTCTGTTGAAGAGAAATACCTTAACTCGTAACTAAAATTTTATTAACATATTTCAAATCTAAAATACTTTGCCAACTCTATAATAGCCAAGATTTAGAAAAGAAATTGGGACTGACATTTTAACTAGAATATCACTAAACGTTTCTTTAAGACTTCTAAGTGTCAAAATGAAGATGACAACAGAAAAAATTAAAATGTGATATATTCCAACGGCACCATCTAAAAGCAACTGGCTGCCATTTAAAAATGAAGCTGTACAAAGTTTCTCCTTCCTACTGAAAAAATTGTGATATATGAGTTGAAAATTCAGGTAACTTCTTAAAACAACAGGGAGGAAAATCAAATGTTAGTCTACAGAGTTCTTCCCAGCAAACTCTGAAATACACAGTCGGTAACAGTTCACACGGGAAACAGACCACGAGACACGAACAGTAAGGATACACAACCCCAAACAGCTGACTTCTGCTCCCACTGCTGCTGACACCACTCAAAGGGTGACTCCTCACTGTCTGTTAGCAGACAGCACAGGATAGCTGTTCTCCACGCATTACCCCACCAATCGTCAATTTACTGTTTCTTTCTGTTCATTTACTTTCCTGTAATAAAACACAGGAGGTGTCTCTCCGTCATCCAGAGGCAGAGTGTGAGTGTACCATCCCTGGTGGACCAGCACCACAATTCCACGGCGGCTACGGGAGTCAAGAACTATGGCCCCAGACCAAACCAGAGACCACTGTTTGGCAGGAAGGGGAACATTGTTAGTGTGTGCCCAAATATCTATGCTGAATAGGGATGTCTTAACATCACCTGAGTGCCAAATACAAGAAATCTGTGGTTAACTATCTGGAGCTCTTTCACAGATACCTATGGCACCAGCAACAGCCAGACTTTTCGACAAGTCTTGCACACTGAGGCGGAAATCCAGACAGGTACCTACACACCCGGCCTGAAGAGAAGAGCCACAAAATGAGGACACGGATGTGAACGCCACATTTAACATAATGAAGGAGCTGCGTGTGCCAGCTCAGTGCTTCTCAGCCCCAAGGCACAGGCGCATCACCTGGGAGCTCTCCTGAAAACACCAGCACCCAGCACCCAGCCCTAGCCTCAGACACTGACAGCACTGCACAACCACTGATGCATTATCACATTAGTAAGTCTAACTGCACTTAAAAACCAATTTGCCTGTATCTATTATTATTTGAAAGTTTTTCTCCATTATTTGCAAGTATTTTTCTCTAAAGATTATAAAATAGATACTCGTTCCAGAGAATCTGGAAACATTGGTGTATTTTCTTCACTGACAGCCCTTCTAGAAAACTATCGCCATGCTGTATAGTTTTGTCTCCTCTGTTTGTTAGTCATTAATTATGGGATATCCCCAAATAACAGGACGTGCTCTTGGAAAACATGACCTTCAAGGGCCCCTAATGTTTTGAACGACACATGAACGAGCCTACACTCAACAGCGCAGGCAACAGGATAGTGAAAGGCATCAAGAAGTTGTGTGTAATAAATAACAGAAAGGTTTTAAAACATGGTGGAAAATTATGGTTAAAAAATATTCAAGGGGCCGGCACTGTGGCACAGCACATAAAGCTGCCGCCTACAGTGCCCACATCCCATATGGGCACTGGTTCAAGTCCCGGCTGCTCCACTTACGATCTAGCTAGGGCCTGGAAAAGCAGAAGATGGCCCAAGTCCTTGGGTCCCCACACCCGCTTGGGAGACCCCGAAGAAGCTCCTGGCTCCTGGCGTTGGATCGGCGCAGCTCCGGCCGTTGCGGCCATCTGGGGAGTGAACCATCGGATGCGAGACCTCTCTCTCTCTCTTTCTCTGCCCCTCCTTCTCTGTGTAATTCTTTCAAATAAATAAACCAATCTTTTTAAAAAAAGTATTCAAAAGAATAAATAAAATAAGCATTTAAGGAGTGCAAGGAAAACAGTTTTAAATAAGGTCCTTATTATCAAATAACTTAAAATCTAGTTAGGGAGATAAACTAAACACATAAAAAAGTAACTAGTGGTATGAGAAGAATATTAGCATGTGGGATTGTAAAGCACATGTTAACCAATGTGTGCTACAGGAGTTTGAAGGACTCCAGGAAGGAGATATCAGGGAGGAAGAAGTAAATACAGCTACCAAACTCCCCCTTCAAGGGGAGAGAGAAAGTGAATAATATTGTTTTGTTTGTGGCATTCTTCCAGGATCACAAACTACAATGCTGAAAAAATTATTGAAATATCAAATGCAAAAGATATTTATCACTGTCCTGATAACAAAGAGGAAGAGTAATAAAGGAAAATGAACAGAACTAAATTAGGAGACAGGAGACACAGAGGACTGAGGTAGGCTGGGAACAAATGGTCCATAACTCAGAAATGAAATTCACTACCTCACACATCTGGGAAATACCCGTGCCTACCCATTTTTTCCTGTTGAATGTCCACGTAAAAAAGGCAGTAAAAGTGAAGTTACACTGTATTAAAGCTGAAATAGTTCTAATTATAATGAAGAATACCAGCAAACAGGTCAGCTTAAAGATGCGATTATACACCAGTTCCAGCTGTAAGACACAGCACTGGCACACTTTCCTTCCAAGATATGGAACAGCTATGCAAATTAACCAAGTGCCAAGGGGTCACAGGGAACCTCAATATTCTAAGAAGTCTTAGGGAGGCTCTTTCCTCTCCGAACAGAAATCTTTTGAAGATCTAAAGAAACTAATCTTACCCAGAGATTTCCATCTGTCCTACCAAAGACAAATGCAGAGGCAAGCATCTGGCCTAGCAGTTAAGATGCTCAAACCCCATACGGGAGTACCTGGGTTCAACACCCAGCTCCAGCTCCTGACTCTGGCTTCTTCCTACAGCAAACCACAGGAGGCTCAAGTAAGCGGGTCCTACCACCCCTGTGAGAGATCTGAAGTATCAGTCCGCAGCCTCAGCCCAGCCCCAGCTACTGCAGGCAGCCGGAGGGGCACTCGTTCTCACATTTGCTCACCCCTCCCTCTCCACCTCTCAACTGAATATATATGTCAGCAAATCGGGGCCGGCATTTCACCTAGCACCCACATCCCACATCCGAGTACCTGGATTTGATCACAGACCCTAAGGGACAGGGGTGACGGCTCCAGTGACTGGGTTCCCGCCACCCAGACGGAGAGCTCTGGCCACTGTGCATTTGGGAGTGAACCCGAGATTGGAGTTTTCTCAAGTAAACAAAAAAATTTTTTTAATTTCTTAGCAAATCAATTCCAGCATTATATAAAACAACAGAATATACCATGACTAAGTGGGATGTATGTTAAGATTACCAAGTTAACTGAACACTCAAATAGCAATCAATGTAATGACATATTAATATGTCAGAATAAAGGAGAAAAATTTTATGATCCATCTCAAAAGATGCAGAAAAAACAATCTGAAATCAACAGGCAAACTACAAACTGGGAGAAAATATTTACAACACAGATACCTGAAAAAGAATCTGTACCCAAATAACTCTTTTACTCATCAATTATGAGAAGTAAAACAAACTAGTTATTTAAAAGGGGAAAAAAAAAGGAAGAGAGGGGCAAAAGACCTAGCAGACCTGCCACATGGGTAAAACCTACATGAACAACCAGGAAACAAAGAAAACGTGCTCAAACGCACCAGTCATCAAGCAACGCACATGGAAACCGTGGGGCCACCGCCTGCCTGATGGCAGCGGAGGCCACAGAGGCCGCGGAGCACCAGCGTTCTCACGCGATGCTGGCGGAGGTGTAGAATGGCAACCACTGTGGGATCTGTCTTAAACATGCACCGTCCCTATAAACCACAATTCAGCTTCTGGGTATTTAGACAAGAGAAATGATATTTATATCCATAAAAATACTTGTACACGAATGTTTATAGATGCCTTAGTCACAACAGCCCAAAACTGGAAGCAACTCACATGTTATCAACAAAGCAATAAAACTGAACAAATGACTGATAAACATACAACACAGATGAATCTTCGAAACACTATGCTGAACATAAAGTCAGAGAAAAAGGAGCACATCTGTATGATACCACTTATTTAACATTCTAGAACAGAAGTAACTAATCCACAGCAAAAAATAAAAGATAAAAATTCAAACAAGCAGTGCCTGCAGGAGTGTAGGGAAGTAAGGCCTGAAGGGAAACAGAAGGTGATGGAAATGGTGTGTATTTTAGTATTTATACCTCACACAGGGATATGCACTGATCTAAAGTCTTCAAACTGTTCATTTAATATCTGAGTCCATCCTTGTAAAAAGTATGCCTCACTAAAAGAAGTTTAAAAAATTCAGGTCCAAAAAAAATTTTTCCTCAGAGGTCAAATATGTTTCTTTTTGAAAAGAGTAAAACAAAAGAAACAATTTTGGGCAAATTCTAGTTTATGAGTTATGTAGCCTTCAGTAAAAAACAAGGGGGGGGGTGGCAGCTAATTGTCCAAATAACAGCTCTTATAAGCTCATCTATTAAACAACAACATGCGCTCCACACGCATCAAAGAACTGAGGAGGAGGAATGTTTCAAATGCTGGAGAATAAAAGACCCAAAATCGACGAACAAAAAGCTAAAATGTCTTTTAGTTTGCCAGTACATGAACTGAGCTCACTATCAAAGTATGCTGCATAATCACAACATCAGTAGAGCAAAGAAGGCACAATAATAAAAACGGAAAATTTAATTTTCTAAATTGGGAAGGGATACAAAGAAAATTAAAAATAAGCAAAATGAAAAATCTGACTAAGTGAAAATCCAGAAGCAAACACAAAACAAAATACAATAAAATTACATTGTTGGTCTGGTCTTGTAGGACAGAAATATAAAAGGCATCGCATCTGCTGTAAATAGCTAAAAATATAAAGGAGCTAAATATTCCACATCTGTACACCTCTATACTCTCATTCACTTATCCTCAAATGCCAGTGCCATTCTAATTCTAAAGAAGAAGGATTTTATTAACTCAAGTTATTTAAAACTTCTATAGCTATTTGTGTGTCTCATTAAATATTTATGACATTATTAAAAATGTAATGCCTACGGTTTAATTAATTCTAGGTATCAAAAACGATGTTTTACAAAATAAATATGAAATACCAGCATAACTTGAGAAAAGAAAATGATTAGCTAAAATATTTTCTTACCACTTTCACAACGCAAGGTGCATCACTGCCAACGGACTTTGAAGAATTTGTATCAGCTGTTTAAAAAAAGTGAAATTATTATCAGAAAAAGTAGCACTAATAAAAACACTATGTTGCTATTAAGAAGTGTACTTCTAGAACGCCTTAACAGAGTTTAGTTCTCAAACGCATGTTTTAGGTACCACAACACACTGCATCACACTTAAGACCTTCCTGTCAAGCTTTAACACAACTGAGATTCAAATACATCTCACAATTTCTAGTGTCTTCAATGTGACCATCAAGTAAGCACAACAAATTCTGAGTTTAAAAAGTTAAAGATTTCTTTAATCCAAAAGTACTCAGTCTTTGATATGCTAATACATATTATGGTTTCTCCAGAGGATGATAATTTCTTAAATTTAACAAACTACACAATCCTTTTAAGAAGGAACATCTAGAGGGTAGAAAAAAGACAGCAGTCAAGGAGGTGATAAGTGTTAGGAAACTGGCGCAGTTGTAGCCAGGTGGCCGCATGGCCCACTACCTGAGCCAGCCTCCACCCCCATCCTACTGGGATTCCTGCTCCTGCTTCCCTGCCCGCCCTCCGGCCTGTTCCTGCACACGTGCTCTCTTGGCTCTTCCCTCCTGCGCTCTCTTGGTTCTCTCTCTAGCCTCCTCCTCTCGTCTCTTGGCTCTCTCTCTCTCGGCTCCTCTCTGCTCTCTCCTCTCCTTGCTAGCTCCTCTCCTCTCTGCTTCTCTCTTATACTCTCTTTTTCTCTCTTTCCCTTCGCCGCCCCTTCACCCCGGTCTGTGGGGTGTTCCCCAATAAAACCCTTCCCTTACTCCGGCGTTCGGTGTGTTTTGCGACGGCTAACATTAATATATAACAATAAGTGTTCAGAATGAGGACATACATTCAAAGAAAAGTCAACAGGATTTGCTGATGGGTTGGATGCAGAAGGTAAAATCTAACAATGATGGGGCCAGCGTTGTGGCATAGCAGGTAAAGCCACCACCTGCAACGCTGGCGTCCCATATGGGCACCAGCTCCTGTCCCAGCTGCCCCACTTCCGGTCCAGCTCCCCATTAATCACCTGGAGAAAGCAACGGAAGATGGCCCGGGGTTGATGCTACAGCACAGCGGATTAAAGCCCTGGCCTGCAGCACTCCACTTCTCCACTTCCAACCCCACTCTCTTACAGCCTGGGAAACGAGCGGAGGATGGCCCAAGCCTTTGGGCCCCTGCACCCAAGTGGGAGACCTGGAAGAAGCTCCTGGCTCCTGGCTTTGAACTGGCTTGGCTACAGCCGTTGTAGCCATTTGGAGAGAAACCAGCGGATGGAAGACCCCCCCCCCCCCTTGTCTCTCTCTACCTCTCTCTGTAACTCTTTCAAATACATAAAATAAATGCTTATAAACAAACAAAAAAAAGAGTATGGCCCAAGTGTTTGGGACCCTGCCACCCACATGGGAGACCCAGATGAAGCTCCTGGCTCCCGGCTCCTGGCGTTGTCTGGTCCTGTCCTGGCTGTTGCAGCCATCTAGGAAGTGAAGCAGCAGACGAAAAACCTCTTTCTCGGTCTCTCCCTCTCTATATATAACTTTAACTTTCAATATAAATAAATAAATCTTAAATTTAAAAAAAGTCTAGGGATGCCTCCAGGATTTAGGCCTGAGCGGGTTACTAATGTAGAGAGAACTGCAGGATTAGCTCCTGATCTGAAGTTTGAGATGTTTATTAAACACCCAAGTTCAGACGTTAAGAGGCAACATTAGTTAGACAAGTCTTGAGCTCGGAGAGTGGTATAAGTTAGAGAAATAAATGTGAGTCATCAATACAGAAATGCTACCAATTTAAAGCCATGATACGGGAAGAGATCCCCCAGGGAATGAGAGTCCACAGAGAAAAGAAGCCATCCTAGGACTGAGCCTTAAGGCGTTCTCACATTAGAAGCTGAAGAGATGAAGGGGGACAGGCTGTGGAAACCAAGAAACCACCAATCAGCTGAGAAGCAGCAGTATTGGGGAAGGGCTGCAGCTAAAATGCTTCAGACTAAAGAAGAAACATTAACTCATAAAAACGGCCAATCTGGGCAGATGAAGGGGTCTGAGCTCCTTGCAGACTGCCCCAGGGAAAGTCACTTAGACAGTGAATTAGTAATAAAGCAAGTTCAAAATGAAGATAGTATCCCAATGATACTGCACAATTCAAATGAGGAAAGGAGGGGGAAGAGTCTCAATAATTCATTCAAACAATATGTACTGCAACATAAGCCAGGCGCCAGGAAAACAGCAGGACCGGTCCCATCATCAAGAAGATTTATTCTGGAAGAAAGAGAAGTAATTCTGATGCAGTGCAGAAACTATACTGAAAGGGTAAACCCAGGACTATAAACTCCCAAAACTAGAAGTATCTCCACCATTTTATCTAGCAAGCACATTACTGGATATATCCAAAGCAAACAGAGCCATCGGACACCTACACTCCCACATTTATCACAGACCTACTCACCACAGTCAACCTGTGCTATCACTCTAGCGTCTACTGAAGGGGGAACGGGTGAAGGAGCGTGCTATGTACACACACTGGACATTAGCCATGTTGTCATCGGCAACAACATGGAACTAGAGGACCTGAGTGAACTACGTCAGCACAGAAAGACAAATACCTCACAGTCTCGCACAAGTCTATCTCACAAGTAGAACAGAAGAATGGTTCTCAGAACCTTGGAAGGGTGTGGAGAGGAGGGATGGAGAGAGGATGGTTAATGAGCACGGGAGCACAACTGGGTAGGGGAGTAACTGCTAACGTTCTGCAGCCCAGGAGGACCACCATGAGTGACAATTCATGTATTCAACACAGCCAGAACACGGGAGTTTGAATGTCCCTGTTACAAAGAATGACAAATGTCTGAGGTGATAGATATGCCAGCTACCCTGGTGTGATCACCGCACATTATACACAAGTACTGAAATGTCATACCATATCCCCTAAATATGTGTGTCAACTAAAAGACCCGTTCTAGGTGTGGGCGTGGTGGTGCAGGGGGCTGAGCCGTCTCCTGGGACACCAGCGTCCTGCCCCAGAGGGCCCTTCATGTCCCAGCTAGTCTACTTCTTCTTTTTATTTTTTTTTTTTTAGAGAAAGAGATCTGACGCCAGGAGCCAGGTGCTTCCTCTGGTCTCCCATGCAGGTGCAGGGCCCGAGCACTGGGCCATCCTCCACTGCCCTCCCGGGCCACAGCAGAGAGCTACTCTACTTCTGATCCCACTTCTTCCTAATGTGCCAAGAAGGCAGCAGATGATGGTCCAAGTACTTGGGTTCCTGGCACCCACGTGGGAGACGCAGTGCAGCTCTGGTTCCTGGCTTCAGCCTGACCCAGCCCCAGTTACTGTGACCACTTGGAGAATGAAGCAGAAGAAAAAATTTCACTCTAGCCCCGTCACTCTGCCTTTCAAATAAATAATCTTCAAACACACACACACACACACACATTTCTAAGAGATACCTGCGCTCCCATATTCACCAAAACATTATCCATAATAGCCGAGATATGGAAACAACTTGAATGTCTATAAAGGGATGAATGGTTGAAGAAAATATGGTCTACACAAACAAGAAAATCACACAGCTTAAAAGACAAGGAAATCATGCATTTGGCATGGATAAACAAGGAAAACATTATGCCGCATGGAATAAGGCAGTCACAGAAGGACGAGCTATCTAAAACAGTCAGACACGTAGAAGGCAAAGAAAAGAACAATGGTTGCCAGGGCTGAGGGGAGAAGACAGGGTCTTGCTAGCCATCAGGTAAGATGTTCACTTACACAAGACGGTGAGTTCTAGAGATCTCCCATTCAACATCAGGCCTGCAATTTACATACTGTACTGTGCACTTAGAAATTCCTTAAGAAGGTGGGCAAGTGCTCTCACCACCCCTCCACCCTCGACAAAAAGAAAAGAGCAAGAGAACACCTCTGGAATGACAGAGCTGGTTATCCCCCTGATCACAGCAACGGCTCACAGGTGCTGGCTCAGGTCTACACTCATCAAGTAGAGCTTTCTATATAGCAATAATATCTCAATAAAGCTGCTAAACAATTTTTACAAAAGTTCAACACAACATAAAATATTCTATTAACTATTTTAACTATATGTTGAAGCAATTTATGTTTGACACACTAGATTAAGTAATATTCTATTAAATTCTTTTAAAAAGAAGCATCATACACAAAGATCCCAAAGGCAGCCTGACAGCCAGGCAAAGATTTTGAGACAGTACAAGGGATGGAAATAAAATTGCCCAAGAAAGGACTGGTATGCCATTCTTTAGCACTTCATTCTAAGGGCACTGGGAAACCATTACAGAGGCTTTCACTGGATGGTTATGTGCCTCACTCAGGCCCACTGTGAATGACAGGATACGAGAGAACAAGACTGGACAGAGAAGGCCCACTGCTACCACCAGAGTCCAGACAAGACATAAGGGCCTGACCTCGGGTGTGGCAACAAAGATGGAGAGAAATGAATGGATCTGAGAAGTCTATCCTAGCGATAAGACTAGACGAGGCATTAGGGATATCAGTGAAGGGATCCTGAAGAACATCTTCCTGGTTTCTCTCTTGAGAGATGCCATTCATTCAGATAATCCTCTTCTGATCGTGAGAGGATCAGGAAATGAAAATCACAGAAACTTTAGACGTGCCTACAGGACATCCAGGTTGCAGGCTACTAGCCATGGTCTGGACTCGAGAACAAATTCCAGGCTATGGACAAACAATATCTAAATCAACAGAAAGGAGCCGTGAGGTCCAACGATGTCACTTGGAGAGAATACACAGAATGAAAAGTCAGCCACGAAAGGAAAGCTGGAAGACACAGAAGTACCCACAAAGCCAACCGAGCACAGCCAGGGAGCAGGAATGTTATCATGGAAGACCAGGGAAGCCAGCTTTACGAGAAAGGTGAACAGCACCAACTGCTGCAGGGAGAAAAAAATCTAAGGAAATTTAAACCCAATCTTCTTAATTTGTTAACAGAATGGCTGTTTCAGTGTTACCAGTAGGCACAGAGAGAGAAACTGCAGGATAAATACTTCCCAAAAGCAGAGGCCACTGGCCTGCAGGGGTCACGTGCAGGATGGAGTACAGCACTAATGTTTAAGCAGCGTTCCATAGACACAGCCCCAGGAGCTGCACCTGAACAACTGACCACCGCTCTGTGATCCGTGCCAGCAGCTCTCAAACTTCACTCTCAGGAGGGCTGCGTCAAACACACTGCTGGGCCCAACCCCTCCAGTGCGATCTTAGGTCTACAACAGGACCCGAGAACTTGCAGTTCTAACAAACTTTCCAGATGATGCTAACCTATGTTACTATAGTAAATATTCTGAGTAAGATGTTTGCTTGAAATAAGAATTCCAGTACCAAAAATAAATTTTTTAAAGTTAAATAAGTAATTTAACAAAATCAAGATTAGAGGTAGAGTAAGGATACAGAATGGAAAAGTTGGAGAGCGGTATCAAAAGGAAACAGGAAATGCAGTCCATCATGACAAATACTCTTGGCTAAGCAGACAGCTTTAGAAGCAGTCTGTTGAAATATTTTTTAATAATTCAGTTAACCTATAGAACTTCAGGGCTGCAAAATGGATCTCCAAAAATCTCAAGATATGTGTGCCAGTGAACAGTACGTGTGACTAGACCTAACATGCAGTTTCTAGGTTGTTCTAGCTCATTCTCCTAATCCCACTATGATGACTATTAGGTTTCTATAGGAAGAAAAAGAAAACCTGTACCTGTAAAAGATCTGAAAAGCCCCAAATCAGGCTGACACAAAGGGAATAAACTCTAACTGCAGGGAGGTGGGGAGGGAAGATGGACGCTGTTTGCTTTGGGCCTCGAGAGATTAAGAGCTCATGGAATGTCTTAAAAACCTAACGCTGCAGTGCTCAGGAACGACATCCCAGATCTGTCTCTTCTGCTGTGAGTAAACCACAACCTTCTACTCTTGGGTCAGAGATGCACTCTGGCTGACTGCAGGTGACCAGGAACGCCCTGCAGCAGCTCACAGCGCTGTGGTAGGACGGCACGGGGACCTCTGTAAGGACAAAGAGAACAGTCTTATACTCACCGAGATAGATACAACCAAAGCCGCCTTGGCCAATGGGCAACCCCAGCTTCCATTCCTTCTTTGACAAGTCAGTCACTATCTCCCCAGCGGCAAACTGCTCCGCGAGACGCCGTTTTGCTGGGCCCTGTCTCCCAGCTTGAGCTGCTTTTACACGAGGCATTTTCACTGTAACAACAAAAAAAAGGAATACTCATCACCTTAAAAGTACGCAAAATACTCTTCTCTATGGAAAGCCCTGTGCAAATGGCTATCTATCCCTTAAAAGAGAAAGCTGGTTCGAATCTTGTCTGATTCTATCTTTACGTTGAAGAGGAGACATTAAATAAATGATCTATGCAATTATCTCCAAGAAAAAAACTGTTTTTAAGTTCCAGTGGCATATCATTTGTACTAAAAATGCTACTTAAAAACAACAAATGAATTGTTCTACGAAGTTGAGGGGAAAACGTATGTTCAATTAGAATGCACACTTTATAGAATGGAATACACAGAATGCGTGTGTGTGTAAAGGTCCATACTGATAAAACCAATAAGCACATAGTGCAGAGACAATGAAACCCCAGGAAAAAGGGCTAGGGTTCCTAGGGCATGACGGGAGATGGTGTCCACGGGTTCCCGCCCACCCTCATGACAGAGAAGACGACACTATCAGCCCATTTTAACACATGAGGAACGTACGGCTCCACAAACCAGTAAGCCTGCTTGGCTCCCAGGCTCACAAACAGGTGTGCTGCACAGTTCCCGAAGTCACTATCACAAACAGCACCTCTCTCAAGGGCTGACAAGGAGGAATCATGACTGCAGTCATTGGGTGTACAGCAAAGGAAAACCCAGTAGAACCCAGCATTCCTGTCCCCTTCTCACTATCACTTAGGACATGAACCTCGACTAACCTATCTCACTAACCTAAAGGGTGAGCCTCACATTCGGGGAGCAGTGCTTCACTGCGAGGAGAGCACTGGGCTGGAATCAGACCTGAACGCCAGGTACTTCGCGTGCCTTCAGTGCCTCAGGTGGAACTCACTTCACTGAGGGAGAAGCTTAACGCGTATTCCACGTGCATACACGTGGCTGCACACGTGTTATATGATTTCATTAACTGAAAAGGAGTCAAAACAAATACTGGTTATGATTCCACAGTTCCCTAAAAAGGTACTCAAGACACATCAAAGACGTGTGGTAAGATCTGTTCAGATTGTCTACAATACGTGAAACGGTTATTCAGCTGAAAGAAACTGTTCAGACCTGACAATTTACACTCCATGAACAGTCCAGTCTTGAGCCTAGATGTGCCACACACAGGTGCACGACACTGGACTGAACATGCTCGGCTAACGCCGTCACTCCACCACACGGCTTCCCCAGATGCAAATGCCTTTCTTCATCAGAGATTGTTAGTGTTTTCCTAGAGAATACGGCTCCATCTTTGTTGTCTAAATCTTCAGTAGGTTAAAAAACACGTTCAAAGTAAATAAATGTACTTCTCTTATTTCATGTCAGTTCTCTTCATTTGTTTTTAATCATGTTAAAATCTTGAATAGAATTCAGTGCCAACCATGACAGCCCAGATTCAAAGCAACAAGAAAAGGTGATTTTTAACACCTATGGTAGATCTAGTAAAAGAAATAACTAAAAGAGCACTGAACTTCACATACTCAAATGGATTCCTTCTAGACTTTATCCAACTTTATCAAATCACCAGAGGAATCTCCTATTTATTTCCTTACAGTAGCCAAACAGTTTAAAATTAAAAATTCTTTCAAAAGATGCATTCTATTTATTTGAAAGGCAGAGCCACGGGGTGGGGGTGGGGAGGAGGACAGAATGTTCTTTCACCCGCTGGTTCACTCCTCAGATGGCTGCAACACCCAGGGCTGGGCCAAGCCAAGGCCAGGAGCCAGGAGCTTCATCTGGGTCTCACATGGGTGACAGGAGCCCAAGCACTTGGACCATCTTCTGCTGCATTTCCAGGCACATTAGCAGGGAGCTGGATCAGAAATGGAACAGCTGGGACTGTCCCCAACCAGCGCCCACATGGGATGCCAGCGTTGCAGGCAGCAGCTTAACACATTATGCCACAACACCAACCCCTAAAGTTAAAATTTTTATATATATTTCTGTAACCCAAAATAGTTACTAGACAATCTTTTGTGTTTTTCTGTAATTCCTTTCCAGAAAAAACCAAAAAACAAACATATTTTAAGTGAAATAGTCTGGCCCACTATAAATTGTGGTCAATACAAAGTGTTTTTCCTCCAAATAAAGCTGTTGGCTTTTATTTTTAGTTTTATTCCTGTAGCCAAGTAATTGAAACTAATTGTAATAATTAATTAAGACTTGGACTGACTTCTTTCTTTCCTACAAACAGTTCCACAGAGCGGCCTCATCACTATCAGTCTACTGAACGCTTCTCAAAGCCATCCAGGGCCACACCGCCCTGACAGCACCCAACCCCATCCGAATGCCCGACAAGCCCTGTCCACGTGGTGCAGGCAGCAGCACAGCTGTGCACGACCCTGGACCCCATCCCATAAAACCAGACAGGACAACCGCACAGCAAACCTCAAAACCCGTGGGTAACACCTAAAACCACAACCCCAAAATCTGAGTGGCTGAGGACAGGCCGCAGAGAGCAACAAGATCTGTGTGGTGTCAGCAGCTGCCACGAAGGGAGCAGAAGGAACTTCGCTGCCTCTGATGAACCTGAGACTCCCAAAACTACAAAGAGGAACTTCTTAGGAAGCACAAGACAAGAGGACGGTCGTTAGAACTAGGAGGAGCCCACACAGCCCACGGCAGGCGAGGACAGGGGTTTGGGCCGAGTCTGAAGATGCTGGAGCAAGCGGGACTCCGAAAACCAACCCGAGTCCCATCCAGGCCATCTCCTGCTGAAGAGAAACACAAAATGAGCCATCAGGAGGATCCGACAAATAAAGGACAAGCTCAGATAAAAGTGCGGCGTTGAGTCAGTCTCCAGACTGTGCAACACCACACAGAAACAAAGAGAGAGGCGGCCCTGGAGGACGAGCCACGGTACACCTGATCCACACCAGCTAAAGTTAACTTAAATGAAGGAAAACGAACTGCATATAAAACCCATCCACAGAAAGGAACAGGGCCTGGTCCCACACTAAGTTCACGCTAGAAAAAGAAAACAAAAGGAGAAAACATCCCTTCAGCAAAGCAAGTAAGAAAAACATGCCTCCCAAAAATTTGACAGCTACTTGTATCAATATTTCAAATTAAGCTAAAAAAAAGAAAAGTCTATACAAAAACTAAACTATCAGGTAGTAGTAGAAAAAAGAAAATGTTAAGACAAAATCATTTCAGAAATGGAGACTAAATTAGAAGGAACACAACTGAATAAAGTTTTGAAATGACTTAACAGAAACAGAAAGCAAAAAGGAAAAATGGAAAAATTAAAAAGGGCAAAATGATAAAAACAATTCCAATGCAATCGTAAGGACCAGCACAGCAGCTCAGGCCGCCACCTGAGCCATTCAAGAATACTAGTTCAAATCCCAGCTGCCCTGCTTCCAATGTGGCTCTCTGCTAATATACCCGCAAAGACAGTGGACGATAACCCCAAGTGCTCGGGCCCCTGCCACAGACGTGGGTGACCCAGATGGGGTTTTGGGCTCTTGGCTTGGCTCTGGCACAGGTTCAGCCATCACAGCTACCTAGGGGTGTGAACCAGCAGAAGGAAGATCTCTCTCCCTCTCTGTCACTCGGGTTTTCAAATAAATACTTTTTTTTTTTTTTTGGACAGGCAGAGTGGACAGTGAGAGAGAGAGACAGAGAGAAAGGTCTTCCTTTGCCGTTGGTTCACCCTCCAATGGCCGCCGCAGCCGGCGCACCACGCTGATCCGATGGCAGGAGCCAGGTACTCAGCCTGGTCTCCCATGGGGTGCAGGGCCCAAGCACTTGGGCCATCCTCCACTGCACTCCCGGGCCACAGCAGAGAGCTGGCCTGGAAGAGGGGCAACCGGGACAGAATCCGGCGCCCCAACCGGGACTAGAACCCAGTGTGCTGGCGCCGCAAGGCGGAGGATTAACCTAGTGAGCCGCGGCACCAGCCCAAATAAATACATCTTTAAAGAAAGGGGAAAAAATTCACAAATTTAGAATACAGGAGGAAAAAAGCTAAATATACATGTAACAAAGAAATCAAAGCAAGGCAACAGATTACTAAAAAATACTTCTTCAACAAAACTTTTTACACTTAAAAATAAAAATGGACCCAGAAAAGCCATCACTAATATACAGTCCAGCAACATCACTCAGCTAAGTACACAGAATACATTCTTTGAGCCCCAAGCCCCCACCGTCTCAGGGGGCCTCTGGGGGCTGACCAATGGCTGTGCCAAGGCACAGAAGCTGCTGCGGCTGGGTGTCAAGCGCGGTGAATCCATAAACAGCCCCTCAGTAACTGCTCTCATGAAGTCGACGTCACACACTTCACTGAAGGCGGCCAGTGCACCACACACTCACATGGGGCAAGCTAACATGATAAACCATTCCTGGGAGGAAAAAGTTATATATATATATGGCATGTAATAGTTCTTTAGTATGTTAATAGATTCTGTTAATATTTTATTTAGGAACAAAACTGATAAATTCACAAGACTGAGCCGCAGTTTATAATCTGTGGTACATGTTTCAATATCAATATTATGTCCACTTCACAAAAAGCCTAGACGCTCTTCGTTTAGCACAATCTGAAGTATTTAATGGCAGTTGAGTGGCCCAGTCCTTAAAGATTTTAAAGACCTCAACTGTGAAAGTCTGACAATGTTAAGTGTGATAAGGATTTGAAACTACTAGGACTCTCACGCACAACACACTGCTTGAACCATTTAGAAAATGCCTTGACAGTAGCTGCTAACCGACCTAGCAGTGCTAACTGTTTGTACACCTAAGTCCAGTGAAAGCATGCCCGCCAAAAGCCACGAAAGCAAGATCGGAGCAGCAGCTTAATTCACGACAGTCACAAACTGGAAACCTGTGTGTCTATCACAGGAAAATGAACCTCCCCAACACTACTGTAAGAAAACCAAGTCGGACTCAGGAAGACATACTCCATGATTCCACTTATAAGAATGTCAATAATAAACAATTACTCAATGACGACAGAAATGCAAGAGCAGATCCATTTTGGGGAGGAA